GCAAAATTTGAGTCAAAAGGGTGCCTATTTTAAATAAATAAATAAATAAATAAATAAATAAATAAATAAATAAATAAATAAATACAGTATAAATATCCAATTACTTTAGTTCAGAGAATGAATAATTTTGGTATTTATTTTGGTATTTGCTCATTAACTGATTAATGTCTCATTTTTGTGTCACTGCCCTGCTGATCCAGGAAGGAAGGGAAGGGAAAGGAAGGAAGGGAAGGGAAGGGAAGGGAAGGGAAGGGAAGGAAAGGAAAGGAAAGGAAAGGAAAGGACACATGTAACCAAGCTACATACCTGTCTTTCTGTGTAATTTGGTACGCTGCCCACTCTTTGGTGGAACACGTAATATTTAAGTGGGACAAATCCATGTCAGGGTTTGCTGCAAGTTTTATGAGTGTTTTGTTCTATATTGTATTATTCTCTTCCTAGGGAGAAACTACAACTAATATTTCTGGCAGAGATCTTGCTTTAATAATAGTCATAAATTCAAATGACCAACTTTCCGTGCAGAGAGATGGGGAGACTAATGGCTTTGACTTCTGCTGTGGTAGGAAAATGGAGAATAGGAAACGCGTTCACAAAAGATGAGCCTGATAGGCAAAGAATGGCGGTATGAAGCTCAGTTTCCCCTTTGCCACCCACCAATGTCTCAGGGGTATTAACATAAATGTCTATCTGTGAACTTCCTCATCTTGGTGATTGTTCCTGTGACAGGACTGCAAGCCCCATTACTCTAGCACTCCTAAACAAAGCGCTAATCACAGCATGCCAACCTTTCCAACTGCTGGGCTGAATAAAAGAAAGTGATTTCTTATTTGATTCACGTCTTGCTACCAGGCCAGCACTCCCTGTCAAATCCCACCAGGAGGAAAAAACTTTCTCACAATTTTATTGAAGAGACAAGAAATTAGGAGGTGGGACCCAAATGGCAGCAAAAGGCAGAGGAAAAATCCTCTCTCCATCCAAGGAAGACAATCAGGAGAAAATTGGGCACAAAATTAAAGTACACAAAAGTATTTGGTATGCATGCTGTCCGAATTCAGAATATACATTTTAAAATATCTCTGAAAGGAAGATGAATATGCGGTTTCAATGTGGCAGTAGAGGGAGCCCAATCCTAGCTGAGATGCTTGTTTGCTATCAAATGAGGTTTTTCCCTCACCAACAAAAGATGCAATTTTGTTCCTAACCTAATTCTTCCAAGTTGCAGAAGGCAGTGGTACGGAGAGAACTTAATTCATTGGGGTTGAAAACGCACCAGTATATAGAGAAAGTTATCATTCTCCAGTTCTGTCAATGAGAGTTTTGTGCTAGGTTGGGACTGGAAACAATTGTGACCCATTGGGTCATTTCAGAGATAGTTTCTTACCTAGACAGAAAAAAAGAATGATCATTGACAGACAAAATCAGTGGGAATTGGAGTGGCTGATTCTGACTTCCTGCTAGCTTCTCCACTGATTTTCCTTGTGGAAAGCTGGCACCAAGCATTGGAAATGATGATCATTACTGTTAGAATAACAGAGTTGGAAGAGACCTTGGGGGTCTTCTAGTCCAACCCCCTGCCCGGACAGGAAACCTTACACCACTTCAGACAAATGGTTATCCAACCTCTTCTTAAAAATTTCCAGTGTTGGGGCATTCATAACTTCTGCAGGCAAGTTGTTCCACTGATTAATTGTTCTAACTGTCAGGAAATTTCTCCTTAGTTCTAAGCTGCTTTTCTCCTTGATTAGTTTCCACCCATTGTTTCTTGTTCTACCCTCAGGTGTTTTGGAGAATAGCTTGACTCCCTCTTCTTTGTGGCAGCCCCTGAGATATTGCTATCATGTCTCCCTTAGTCCTTCTTTTCATTAAAATAGACATATCCAGTTCCTGCAACTGTTTTTCATATGTTATAGCCTCCAGTCCCCTAATCATCTTTGTTGCTCTTCTCTGCACTCTTTCTAGAGTCTCAACATCTTTTTTACATTCTGGCAACCAAAACTGAATGCAATATTCCAAGTGTGGCCTTACCAAGGCATTATAAAGTGGTATTAACACTATCATGTAAACATGACTGAATGTAGCAGCACCACAGAGGCCATGGCATTGCTAAATTTCAACCCCATGGGAGTAATAGGTCCCAGATTTTGGACACATTCTCTTAAGTTAGCCCATTTGAGATGCCTTGATTCAAAATAAATGTTGCCTTATGATGCACCATTTCACCCAATTGAAGGTTACAAACAGATAAAAGAGTTTTCATGTTATATAGATGGATCCAAATGTATTGAAAATGATTAAGTATTCAGTATGTGTAGGGAGTAGCTAAGCAGAGCAATGGAAGTCACGAAAATGTAGGGATAGCTTCTTCGTATTTATCATCCTCTGACAAAAGATATACTTTTTATTCACAAAACATGTGGGATTATGACAAATTAAACCATAATTAACTGAAATAACCCCAATGTCTGGGTGTACTTAATAGATGAATCCTAAATCACTGGCCCCCACGGAGAGGGCTCGCAACTTAGGCATCCTCCTGGACGCACGGCTGTCTTTAGAAGAGCATATGATGGTCGTGGCCAGGGGGGCTTTTTATCAGGTTTGCCTGATACGTCAGTTGCATCCCTTTCTGGATCGGGACTCCCTACGCATGGTCACTCAAGCACTCGTCACTTCCCGCCTGGACAACTGCAATGCTCTCTACATGGGGCTCCCCTTGGGGTGCACCCGGAGGCTGCAGTTGGTCCAGAATGTGGCCGCGCGGGGGATTATGGAAGCGACGGGGTGCTCACATATAACACCTCTCCTGCACGAGCTGCACTGGCTTCCTGTGGTCTTCCGGGTGCGCTTCAAGGTGTTGGTGACCACCTTTAAAGCGCTCCATGGCTTAGGGCCGGGGTATTTGCGAGACCGCTTTCTGCCACCAATAGCCTCCCACCGACCGGTTCGCTCGCACAGGGAGGGCCTGTTCAGGGTGCCGTCGGCCAGACAGTGCCGGCTGGCGACCCCTAGGGGGAGAGCCTTCTCTGTGGCAGCACCTGCCCTCTGGAATGACCTGCCCCCTGAGATACGCACGATATCAGACCTCCGGACTTTTCGTGGGGCCCTGAAGACACACTTATTCCATCTAGCTGGGCTGGCTTGATCCCATCCTCTCAGTTTTTAATTTTAATTCGGTTTTAATTGGGTTGTTTTAAACTTGGGCCAAAATTATTTGTTTTTAAAATGTTTTTAAATTTTATATGCTATGTTTTTATCTTGGCTGTACACTGACCTGAGTCCCGCAGGAGAAGGGCGGTATAGAAATAAAATAAATAAATAATAAATAAACAAATTACAATGATGCAATTACGGTACCAACTTGCCCATCAAACTTAAGCGTAGCACAACAAAACGTCTGATATTGAATGGTACAGATGTTATGACTGATGATCTTCAACTGAACACAAGTTGCAGGTGGAAGGAAACTGATAATTGCCCTGCTAAAGACCACAACTGCCCAGAGTCCCTGAGCAATGAGTCACTACCATTCTTTGACCTTTATCTGGAATTTAAACTTAATAATGTTACTGACCACTGATAACCTTTATATTCCCTAACTTTCTCCACTAGCTTTCCCAACATAAATACCTACCAAAGGCACAGACTTCCAAAATTGACTGCAATGGCCAAGTTGGTTGGGGAATTATGGAAAGTGAAATTGACATATCTTGACACCAGGACTGGGAAAAAGATGCTGTACCTTTTCTGTTATTGAACTCATCAGGTTACATATACACCTATTTTCTCTCCTGAATTACCTACTATTACTCTTCATTGCAACACAATAGCTTCTAATGTCATAATCAAGAACGATGGATTTCTCTTTTATCTTCTTTCTCCAGATTATGCACAATTTCCAAACTTCTATGTTTTATGATTAGGGTTTTTTTTTATTGTGTGGACTTTGATATGGACGCATTTGTACATTTAACACACCTCCTGAGAAAGGATTGCTGAAGCAAAGAAAGACCAGTAGCATGTCTTTAAAAAGACATTACTTGATTAATTTAGACAGTGGAGTAGAATAGAATAACAGAGTTGGAAGGGACCTTGGAGGTCTTCTAGTCCAACCCCCTGCTTAGGCAGGAAACCCTACACCACTTAACACAAATGGTTATCCAAAATCTTCTTAAAAGCTTCCAGCATTGGAGAATTCACAACTTCTGGAGGCAAGTTGTTCCACTGATTAATTGTTCTGTCAGGAAATTTCTCCTTAGTTCTAGGTTGCTTCGCTCCTTGATTAGTTTCCATCCATTGCTTCTTGTCCTACCCTCAGGTGCCTTGGAGAATAGCTTTGCTCCTTCTTCTTTGTGGCAGTCCCTGAGATATTGGAACACCGCTATTATGTGTCTCCTAGTCCTTCTCTTCATTAAACTAGACATACCCAGTTCCTGCAGTTGGAGTAAATAAACTCAAATTTCTCTTTGTGTTAATTAAACTTAATAGAAGTGGGATGCTGCAGGAAAGGACATAAATATACCCACAATCTGCACATGCTAATTTATACTGCAGGTGCCAATTCCGAAATGTCCGGTTCTTTAAGGAGAAGCATCAGGCATGGCGCAAAACGAAACAATTCTGAGCTCATGTGGGAGCCCCACACTTCTTGAGGCGATTCCTCCAGTTGCCACCAAGGGTTAACGTTTATCTTTCTCACGCGTTTCCCGAGCGCTCGGCAATTTCCAAACGGCACTCGCGAAGCAAGGAGAAGGGTAAGAGATTAGAGACCAAATCTCGCCTTCAAACCGACGACGTAAAGCGATCGCCCTGTAGCAATGGCGTCAGCTTAGATGCAGTGCGGAAAATCGGAGCTTTTTATAACATTATTGACGTGCCAGCGGGCGAATCTCTCCCCGTTCGAGGCTGCTCTTTCTCTCTCTCTCTCTCTCTCTCTCTCTCTCTCTCTCTCTCCCCCCACTTCCCCGTCCCTCCCTCCCTCCCTCCTTTTCGCGTGCTCGTTCCCATCTCCAGCCGACGCGCAGCCTCTCCGGCGATGCCTTTGATTGAACTTTTATTCACGCATCCATCTTGTTTCCTCGCCGCAGGAGATTGGACCGGAAAGACACGTAGCCCCAGCGTGGTTGGGGATGGTTAGTTCATGCCCGCTTTCAACGCGCGGCGGGGCGGGGATCGCTTGCTAGAGAGACAATGAAGCCTTTCGGAGGACGGGCGCAGACGGAGGAGGGGAGGGGAGGGGAGGGAGGGGAGGGGAAGGGGCGGGTGGGAGAAAAAGAGCAGCCCTTGGACGCGGCGGTCCAGGAGGTGGCGGCCGTGCTCGCTGGCTGGTTGGCTTGCCGGCGACTCTGCCAGTTTAGACGGCTGAGAATGATCCCGCGTTGCAGCCTTGCCAGGAGTCCAGAAGGAGAGAGAAATTATAAAAAGGCTCGAAGATCAAAATAACCCAGATGAGGAATTCTGCCCGGGTTTCTTAAATCGTTAAGAATGGCACGCAAACAGGCAGATTATTCTACGGAAGAAGACTTTCATAATCTTCCTAACAGCTGTCCCCCCAAAAAAAATAATACATTTTTTTCAATGATTTATGGCTGACAGTGAAAAATATCGATCAATTTGGGTCATTTCAAATACCGAACCTTGCTTTGATTGCCATGGGCGGTATTTGGGGAGGGGGGCAATTGTCTAAATTCCTCCCCCCCCACCCCAGAGTCTGAAAGGCTTCCTTTGACCAAAAAGTGCATAACAAGAGCTCTTTAGTCAAGTCCAGGTTGTTGCTCTTAAAACGGTCAACAAGATGCTTCTGGAAAACTCGCTGCAAAAGGGAACAATGGCCCCTCTGCTGCTCTTTCTCTCCAGCTGTTCCTGCTTGGGTGGGTTCCTCCTTCATCAATTCTCTCTGTCCTTTGTGAGCCCTCAAAGCAAGTGGCCATCAATGCTCTTGTTGTACTCGGTTCTACAAAGCATTTTTTTTTTTTTTTTTTTTGGGGTGGAAAAAAAAAAAAACTATTCAGACAAGGAATCATGGGACGTAATATACTTATCCAGATTCTCCAAATGGAATAAAGACAAGTGAAATTATAGTTACCTTTTTAATATGAGAAATAGAATCAGAAAAAACGCATCTTTGCCTATCTAGTAACTCTCATTCTTTTTATTGTATTTTGTGTATCCATACTAAAGGTAAAGGTAAAAGTTCCCCTTGCACATAAGTGCTAGTTGTTCCCGAATCTAGGGGGCGGTGTTCACTCCGTTTCAAAGCCGAAGAGCCAGCGCTGTCTGAAGACTTCTCCGTGGTCATGTGGTCGGCATAACTAAACGCCAAAGGCACGGAACACTGTTCCCTTCCCACCAAAGGTGGTCCCTATTTTTCTACTTACATTTTTTACGTGCTTTCAAACTGCTAGGTTGGCAGAAACTGGGACAAGTAACGGGAGTTATGCAGTACTAGGGATTCAAACCACTGAATAGTCTGCATTACTATTAATCTTCTTATCGTTCCTATCACCCATCTCCCACTTACGACTGTATGACTGTAACCTTCTTGCTGGCATCCTTACAATTTATATTGACTGTTTCCTAATATGATTTGATTGCTTATTTGTTCCCTATGACTATCATTAAGTGTTGTACCTTATGATTCTTGATGAATGTATCTTTTCTTTTATGTACACCGAGAGCATATGCACTAAGAGAAATTCCTTGTGTGTCCAATAAAGAATTCTATTCTATTCTATTCTGAACTGCCGACCTTTCGATCAACAAGCTCAGCGTCTTAGCCACTGAGCCACTTTGTCCCCTCATACTAGCTACCTCAAAAGAGCTGATTTCTAGTCAGGGTTTAATGGGGGTGGTAAAGAACTTGGAGAGCTGAACTACGAAACAGGGAACCCCTCTACTCATTAGTTTGGAGCAAAGTTGGGTCATGCCTCCTCCAATGAGATTATTGAACCATCCCATTATTGAATTATTCATTCATTATTCAATAATGAGATATTCAATGAGATAAGCAATTATAAGGCGTTTATGCATCACTCTGCCAAAATAATTAATGAAGACAAGCTTTATGTTCCCAGAGTGATGTGGGGTGGAGGGTACGCTAAGATGTTGCAACTACTTGTGAAAAAAATGACTTTCGCTGTTGATTTTCACACCCACACCCATTCCAACATCATGGCTGTGTTCACACAACAGGTTTGACCAGATTAATTACCAACCTAATTGCTGCATTTGTGAAACTGTTACTGAGCTTTTTATAGGCAAACCCAACTTAGTCATTAATGGCTCAGCATAAACTGCAAATCTAGAAGATAAATTAATTTAAAAAGCAAACTAAATGCACTGTACAAATGCAGCTAATATTGTCCTACTGTACAAGGTTTGTGTTCTATTTTGAAAATGCAAAGCTTCTGTTTAAATTTGAAGTAAAATTATTGCCATTAATCAAGGAATAAGTGCATTGTTCCTCAAATCAGAAAGCTCATGTCTGCAGTTTTTGGATTATAAATCATAAAGTTGATTTATAATATTAGATTATAGCAAATCCAAATTACAGTATGCCCAATATGGGCAATTCTCAATTTGCAATCAGTCCCTTAGCAATCGTTCAAAATTAGATAGACCCCCCCAAAAGAAGCTTAGGACCCAATTCTGAAATTCCAGTTGTCCCCACCTGAAGTCATGTGACTGCATTTTGGGTGCATTTGTAACATCCAGCAGTCACATCAGAGGTGGTATTCAGCAGGTTCTGACAGATTCTGGAGAACCGGTAAATACCACCTCTGGCTGGCCCAGTCCCCATCTATTCTCTGCCTCCCGAGTCCCAGCTGATTGGGAGGAAATGGGGATTTTGCAATATCCCTGGGGTGGGGAAGGAATGGAGATTTTACAGTATCCTTTCCCTGCCACGCCCACCAAGCCATGCCCACAGAACCGGTAGTAAAATTTTTTGAATCCCACCACTGAGTCACATGACTGTCATTTACACCTGTTTTACCAAAAATGATATTTACTTCCTTTTTTTTTTTTTTTTTTTGCAAAAGCATCCCATAGCAAACAATAGGTTCTCTTAATGAGCTCTACAAGAATAGATAAAAAAAATCAGGTCTGACATGTGACCTACTTTACAACCGTCACAACTAAATACCATAATGGCCAGGCTCCATTACAATTGTAAATCAAGACTTAATTATAAGAAAAACAGATTGCATTCAATATTGCCATGTGTGTACTGTCTACAGGTTTGTGTGTTGTGTAAGTCCAACTGATTCTGGAATAGGCAATAAACCATGGACAAACTGGACACAACAAACATGAATTTGGGCAAATTCCGGGAGACAGTGGACGACAGTGGTGGATGCTGGCATGCTGTGGACCATGGGGTCACAAAGGGTTGGACATGACTTAGCGACTGAACAATAGCAATAGCATGTAGACTTATATACCGCTTTACAGTGCTTTACAGCCCTCTCTAAGCTGTTTACAGAGTCAACATATTGCCCCCCAACAATTTGGGTCCTTATTTTACCCACCTCGGAAGGATGGAAGGCTGAGTCAACCTTGAGCCTGGTGAGATTTGAACTGCCAAATTGCAGTCAGCCGGCAGTCAGCAGTACTGCACTCTAACCACTGTGCCACCATGGCTCAACAACAACAAAATAAACTGGGAATAGCACAAATCGTGAGTTCTTATTGTGCTCACTTGTTTCCTTTCCAAAAACAGTCCAGTTATAAGAAAGAGAATTAGTCTCATAGGTTCTTGGGATAAGGCAGAATATAACCAGTATATATATATACAGTATAAATGTATAAATGTATAAATACAGTATATATGTAGCAGCGGTGGGTTCTGTGGGCATGGCTTATTTTGTGGGCATGGCTTGATGGTCATGTGACAACTATTTAGGATTTAGCAGAGGTACTGGTCTACCAGGTTTTTAGCTGCTTGCAGAGCTGTGCTGATCTACCCATTTATTTTTGCAGGCACTAATCTACTGATGTATTTTTGCAGGCACCGTTCTACCCATTTATTTTTGCAGGCACCCGTCTACTCATTTGTTTTCTTTTAACACTGATCAGCTGTAGGGCAGCCCTTTGAAGTCCCTCTAACCATCAGCTGGGATTCAGGAGGCAGCAATAGATTGGGGGTGGGGCCAAATAAAAGGTAAGAATAACGCAGAGGGTGGGGGGTGCGGGGTGGGGGTGCGGGGTGCGGGGGGGGGCAGAACCGGTTCAGTGACATCATATCGTCACCGCTACCGGCTCGGCGGAACCGGGCGGAACCAGGAGGAACCCACCACTGATATGTAGCTATGAAGAAGAGCTGTGATGGGATGACCACAGAGTCTGGCTGAACCCTGCAGCTATGACTCAGACTCTGAGGGTGGATTTATCAATATCTGATCATACTTTTTTTGACAATCAGTGCAATTAATCAATGGAAGACCTTGCCTCCTGGGATTGTAGAGGTTTTCAAAAATAGATTGGACAACCATTTGACTTGGAGGGTATAAGACTCCTGCCTTAAGCAGGGGTTGGACTAGAAGACCTCTTGAGGTCCTTTCCAGCCCTATGATTCTATACCCTGGGGAGCAATGTTGTCCCATCTCTCCTGTAGTGTTGGGCTATTGTGTTTCAGCACAGAACTCAGGCCATTCATTCTCTGAGATACCACATTAAGGGTTGCTTTGCACATGTGCTTTCTCAGTTTATTGCTTGCTTGCTGCATGTTTCCTGGGTAGGCAGGGCATGAAATTGGCCTTCAGAGATTTTCTCTTGGGTTTATTCCAGGTTGTTCTCATCTCCATTCAAGCATAGGGAATGCTGGCAGTCCAGCTCTAGGCAAATGGCTTCACGTCTTAAGAATTGATATTTTCAAGCATTTGCATCTTGAATTGGGACCTAATCTGGCCATGGAGATTTTATATTACTCTTGCATATCATTGAAGGAAAACGACTCTTTTGGGAGAAGCACATCCCAGAATTTCCCAGACTTTTGTGGTAGTAAGGTGGGAATAAGAAGCACGGTGAAAGAGATGAGTGTTTATTTTTTGCAATTTTTTAAATAAAAAAGAATTCGCCTGCAAGCATTAGTTAAAGACAATCCCACAGCCTAGCACTCTCCTCAAATATGTTTAAATTTCAATGACCATCATAAACTCTATTCCAACATCATAATGACCCCAAGCTGGGAAGGCTTTCAAAGGATTATGGAGATGATACATAAAGTATATTTTACCTATTGAATTTATATCCCAATTTTAGTTTTTGCAACCGGAGAGAAGTGTATAATGACCCTTCCTCCCATTTTCCTCACCACAACAACAGATAGTCCTCAACTTATGACCACAACTGAGCTCAAAATTTCTGTTGCTAAGCAACACAGTTGTTAAGTGAGTTTTGCTCCATTTTATGCCTTTTCTTGTCACTGTTGTTAAGTGAATCATTGTAGTGGTTAAGCTAGTAATACCGTTGTTAAGCGAAACTGGCTTCTGCACTGACTTTGCTTGTCAGAAGATCACAAAAGGGGATCACATGATTCCAGGCCATTGCACCCATCATGAATATGAACCAGTTGCCAAGCATCCAAATTTTGATCACGTGACCATGGGAAGGATGTAATTGTCCTAAGTGTGAGAAATGGTCACAAGTTACTTTTTTCAGTGCTGTTGTAACTTCAATCACTAAATGAATGGTTGTAAATCGAGGACCAGGGTGGGCTTCAAAAATTTTAGCAAGGGGTTCTCTGCCCAGTTGCTGGGTGAGCGTGGCCATGGTGGGTGTGACCTAGTTGGCTTCCTGCACCATGGCGGGGGGGGGGGCGTTTTTGCCCTCCCCAGGCTCCAGAGGCTTTTCTTGAGCCTCTGGGAGGGCGAAAACAGCCTCCCCAGGCTCCCAAGGCCTCTGGAGGCTGGAAACGGGCCTGTTTTCGACCTTCCTGACTTCTGGTAGGCCTGTTTTTTGCCTTCCCCAAGCCTCTGCGTGCGCCCTGCACTTACCTGCATCCAAAATGGGCCATGTGGGGACTCCTGAGGGGATGGGGGGGTGGGCAGGGCGGGGCAGGGCAGGGCCAGCCAGGATTTGGGATTTGGGGGTTCTCCAAATTGCACAGAATCTTAGCTAGAGGTTCTCCCGAACCCCTGCGAACCCCTAGCAGCCCACCCCTGTCGTGGCCTACCTATACCTTGTAAAATGGGTTGGACTGAGAGTGACTGGCCCAAAATCACCTAGCTGGTTTCCCTATGGAAGGGAGGACAATGGCACATAGTCTCCTGGTTTCTAGTCCATTGAGACCAAATTAGGTCTCAAAAACTATACCTTCAAAAATTATATCCATATGGAAACATATAAATATGTTCTCCAGACCATGGAGAAATCCCCAGGACAGTTCCAGACAGAGCTAGAGATTCAGAGGATGCATTAGGAAAGCAGGACAACTAAATCAGTGGCTAAGGTTGTACATTCTGCAAAGCCCTAATGAGGTTTTCGTTTGTTTTGACTATTGTTTATTTTAAATATGTTATGCAGGAATCAGACCACCACTGTATATTCAAAAACCCCACACTATATTAAAACAAATCATGATTAGACTTAGACATTAACTCTGTTTTTTTTCCTTTTATTCCATTTGTATGCAATGCTGAACTAAAACAAAGTGTGCAGGTGAATTTACATAGCATGATAGACTAAATGTGGTGAGCTTGTTTGAGCTTCAGTGTGTTGCACGCATGCAGCCAG